GTTCATAATTTTTTCATACTTGTCACTCTTGATTCATTGCATATCCCGGTACACCGCCGGAGGCATCCATATAGAGTCATACTTTGTTTTAGAATCGAGTTGTAATCATTGAGTTGTAAATAAATAAAAGTGTGATGATCATCATTCAATAGAGCATTGTCCCAAATAAAAAAATAAAAAAAGAGAAAGGCCAAAGAAAAAAAAAGGCCCCAAAAAAGAAAATAAATAAAAAGGGGCAGTGCTACTTTCCTTTTTTCCACACTTGTGCTTCAAAGTAGCACCATGATATAGCGAGTCTCATATATTGTGCTTCAAAGTATCACCATGTTCTTCATATAGAGAGTCTCATATGTTGTCACTTTCATATACTAGTGGGAATTTTTCATTATAGAACTTGGCTTGTATATTCCAATGATGGGCTTCCTCAAAATTGCCCTAGGTCTTCGTGAGCAAGCAAGTTGGATGCACACCCACTTAGTTTCTTTTGTTGAGCTTTCATACATTTATAGCTCTAGTGCATCCGTTGCATGGCAATCCCTACTCACTCACACTGATATCTATTGATGGGCATCTTCATAGCCCGTTGATACGCCTAGTTGATGTGAGACTATCTTCCCCTCCTTTTTGTCTTCTCCACAACCACTCTTCTATTCCACCTATAGTGCTATATCCATGGCTCACGCTCATGTATTGCGTGAAGATTGAAAAAGTTTTGAAAAAGTTAGAGTATGAAACAATTGCTTGGCTTGTCATCGGGGTTGTGCATGATTTAAATACTTTGTGTGGTGAAGATGGAGCATAGCCAGACTATATGATTTTGTAGGGATAACTTTCTTTGGCCATGTTATTTTGAGAAGACATAATTGCTTTGTTAGTATGCTTGAAGTATTATTATTTTTGTGTCAATATAAACTTTTCTCTTGAATCTTTCTAATCTAAATATTCATACCACAATTAAGAAGATTTGCATTGAAATTACGCCAAGTAGCACTCCGCATCAAAAATTCTCTTTTTATCATTTACCTACTCGAGGACGAGCAAGAATTAAGCTTGGGGATGCCTGATACGTCTCCAACGTATCTATAATTTTTGATTGCTCCATGCTATATTATCCACTGTTTTGGACTATATTGGGCTTTATTTTCCACTTTTATATTATTCTTGGGACTAACCTATTAACCGGAGGCCCAGCCCAGAATTGCTGTTTTTTGCCTATTTCAGTGTTTCGGATAAACAGAATATCAAACGGAGTCCAAACGGAATAAAATCTTCGGGAACGTGATTTTCTCACCGAGCATGATCCAGGAGACTTGGACCCTACTCCAGGGGGTCAAAGAGGAGGTCACGAGGGTGGGGGCGCCCCCCTAGGGCGCGCCCCCTGCCTCGTGGGCCCCTCAGTGCTCCACCGACGTACTTCTTCCTCCTATATATACACACGTACCCCCAAATGATCAGAACATGAGCCAAAAACCTAATTCCACCGCCGTAACTTTCTGTATCCACGAGATCCCATCTTGGGGCCTGTTCCAGAGCTCCGCCGGAAGAGGGCCGTCATCACAGAGGGCTTCTACATCATCATAGCATCTCCGATGAAGTGTGAGTAGTTTACCTCAGACCTTCGGGTCCATAGTTAGTAGCTAGATGGCTTCTTCTCTCTCTTTGAATCTCAATACAAAGTTCTCCCCCTCTCTTGTGGAGATCTATTCGATGTAATCTTCTTTTTGCGGTGTGTTTGTTGAGAACGATGAATTGTGGGTTTATGATCAAGTCTATCTATGAATAATATTTGAATCTTCTCTGAATTCTTTTATGTATGATTGGTTATCTTTGCAAGTCTCTTCAAATTATCCGTTTGGTTTGGCCAACTAGATTGGTAGTTCTTGCCATGGGAGAAGTGCTTAGCTCTGGGTTCGATCTTGCGGTGTCCTTACCCAGTGACAGAACGGCAGCAAGGCACGTATTGTATCGTTGCCATCGAGGGTAACAAGATGGGGTTTATTTCATATTGCATGAATTTATCTCTCTACGTCATGTCATCTTGCTTAAGGCGTTACTATGTCTTTAACTTAATACTCTAGATGCATGCTGGATAGCGGTCGATGAGTGGAGTAATAGTAGTAGATGCAGAATTGTTTCGATCAACTTGTCACGGACGTGATGCCTATATACATGATCATGCCTAGATATTCTCATAACTATGCTCAATTCTGTCAATTGCTCAGCAGTAATTTGTTCACCCACCGTAGAATACTTATGCTCTTGAGAGAAGCCACTAGTGAAACCTATGGCCCCCGGGTCTATTCTCATCATATCAATCTCCATCACTTTAATCTTGCTTTGCTTTTTTACTTTGCTTTTACCTTTTACTTTGCATCTTTATACCAAAAATACCAAAAATATTATATCTATCAGATATCACTCTCGTAAGTGACCGTGAAGGGATTGACAACCCCTAATCGCGTTGGTTGTGAGTAGCTATCGCTTTGTGCAGGTACGAGGGACTTGAGCGTGGCCTCCTACTGGATTGATACCTTGGTTCTCAAAAACTGAGGGAAATACTTACGCTACTCTGCTGCATCATCCCTTCCTCTTCGGGGAAAACCAACGCAAGCTCAAGACGTAGCAGGAGACACCTGTAGAGCACCTTTATAATCACTCAGTTACGTTGTGACGTTTGATGGCACACAAAGTGTTCCTCTGGTAAACGGGAGTTGCATAATCTCATAGTCATAGGAACATGTATAAGTCATGAAGAAAGCAATAGCAACAAACTAAACGATCAAGTGCTAAGCTAACGGAATGGGTCAAGTCAATCACATCATTCTCCTAATGATGTGACCCCGTTAATAAAATGACAACTCATGTCTATGGTTAGGAAACTTAACCATCTTTGATCAACGAGCTAGTCAAGTAGAGGCATACTAGTGACACTGTGTTTGTCTATGTATTCACACATGTATTATGTTTCCGGTTAATACAATTCTAGCATGAATAATAAACATTTATCATGAAATAAGGAAATAAATAAAAACTTTTATTATTGCCTCTAGGGCATATTTCCTTTAGGCTGTGTTCGGTTGAGAGGGATTCAAAGGGGGTTTGACAGGGATTGAAGTGGATTTAATCCCTTGCAAGTCAAAACCTCCCCAAATCCCCTCCAATCCTCTTGTGGAGGGGTGTAACCGAACAAGGCCTTAGTTATATGACCAAAATACCCATAGTCCCACATGTGAGCTCTCTCTATCTATGGTAAGTGTGGGACCCACTTGTCAAGAGTAAGCAAGCGAATAATTATAGAGGAAAATAAAAACGTTGTTGGGGATTGAGTGGGACCCATACTTTATCATACTGAGATAGAGGAAAAGTTGACATGTTGGTCCATGTGTATTTTTGCCATTATAACATGGTAAATGGGTTTTGAGCTGACAATAATGTTGTCTAATGGAATCTTTAAGCATACGCCTAATAAAGCGATGTCATTTTTTAGCAGTTAAAATTCCTAGTGACAAAACGAAGTAGTGAAACACAACCGGTGGTATAAATGATAAAAGCCCTAAAATAAAAGACAAACCTTATGAAAACAAAGAGAACAAATGAAAAAAAAAACACAAGAAAGGACAGGGAAGTGAAAACAAATTAAAACATAAGAACCTTGATGAAAAATGTAAATAAAACACATAGAAAAAAACAAAAAACCAACAAAGATCGATAGAAGACAACAAAGAAAGTACACAGTCAAACTTGAACTTGTACAACTAGTGTACAACAGAAGAAGAGAAGAAAAATAAATCAAGAGAGCGACTGCAGCGATTGTGCAAGCTAAAACCCACTAATGGGCCAACTAATATGTGCGGGCGCTAGTGGCGAGCGAGAGCTACATCTCGCATTAGGCGAGAGATAACTATAGTGGTGTAATACCGAACAATCGCGCATCCGTGCATGTGAATTGGGTCGGCCCACCGAGCTGCTCGATAGCTTCCCCCCTGCTATGAGAATATTGAACCAATTTTTTATGTGCATCTTTTTAAGGCATTCTATCGCCGCACCCTCCCCTCGGCCTCCCCCACCGCCGTTGCTGGCCACCGCCCTGGCTATCCCTCTAAGCCCCACACCACCGGTGAAAACCTCCGGCGATCCCCCCCCCCCTTCCTCTAAGATAGATAATAGAGTTGCAACTTCCCCATAGTGAGGTCATGGCTTCCCCTAAGAAAGATAGTGGGGTTGCTCTTACCCGACAACATTTTTTCTTCTCCGGCAAGAGGTCCAGCATGAAGAAAGGAAGGAAGAAGGTGACTGGCGCGATAAAAAAAATTCAGGTACCTGGAAAATAGCAAAACCATAAAAGTTTAGGTGTTTGTTTGGACTTGTGCAAAAACCCAAACAAAAAAGTGTCATAGCCATCACATGAGCATGCCATAGACGGTTGAGATACATTCCAAATATGGTTAAGAAGCACCAAATACACAGCGTGATAGCCGTCACAAGGACATGCTGTGGACAGCTGAGAGGCATTCCAAAAATGATGGCAGCACATATGTATGCTCAACAAAAAAACATGTTTGCATAAGTAAGCCCAAACAGATACAGTAGGACCGTAGGCCGTAGCTGTGACAAACACATGCTCCGGACACAGGTGTGCTGCATGCAATTCATGGTTGGTAGAGACGCATCTCAAAAAGAACGGTCAGTAGTAGAAACGCACAGGTGTACATAAATAAACCGCGACAAAAGTCGGCATGGCTACCCTCCAAACGCAGTAGCAACGAGCAGGCACACATAAGCTGTCACATGGACATGCTACGTCAGTTTAAGAACACTCCAAAGACAGTAGAAACACACTTACACACACTGACACACACACACACACACATAAAACTCTTCTAAAAACAAGAAAGGCAAACGAAACAGTAGGAGCGCCGGTGTATATATAGAGCGCCGCGAAAGCATCGCCCTCACAGCCTCGGCAGACACTCGAACTGCGGCGGAACAAAGCTGACGCAATGGCGGCCTTGCTCTGCATCAGCACCCCCGCCGCCGCCGCCCTTCCCCACCTCCCGCGCGGACGCGCACCCCCGTGCGACGTCGCGCTCGCCGCTCCGGTGCCTGCCCGTCTCTCCCTCCGCCGCCGCGGCCTCCCAACTACAGGTCTAGTTCGGGAACAGAACAGGACGCTCTCACGCTCGTCGGATTTACCGGCCGAACGGATGGAAGCCTAACCTGAGGATTCTTTTGTTGTGGCGGTGTGTTTTTGCAGGGCTGCGCTGCTCCGGCACGGAGGTGGGGGTTACGGATGCAATAAGGATGGCCGCGGCCACGCCGTTCGGGCACAACCTGGTGGCGGTGGACATCGTCGGTGACGAGGTGGCTGCCGACAAGGTGACTTCCCTGCTTTGCACGTGACTTGTTTGTTGTATTGCGTCAAAGGTACTTTTGTGGCTATGTTTAGACGGGGGGCGGGGGAGTTGTTGTGGATCTTGGCGTGGAGTTACACAGAAAGAAATACATAATAGCTACATGTCAGTCACCTGAACTTTTGAATTTGGGGCAGTCGATTTCGCTAGAAGGGAGAAACAGCCGGAGGGGAGGAAGAAACTCGCCGGAGGAGAGGAAGAAGCTCGCTGGCAGGCTACCCCACCATCTATCTTAGGGTCGGGGTGGGGGAGATGGCACGGCGGTGGTGCAAGTTCGCCGGAGAAAAACCTGTCATAGCCCGAGGCTAGAGGGATGGACGGGGGCGGGGGCAAGACATGCGGTGGGGGCGGTTTAGGGGACGGCGGTGCGGCGAGGCGGTCGCAGGGGTGGCAGCAGGCGACCCGGCCAGTGGCAACATGCGGCGGAGGAAGAAGAACACTGGCGATCTGTTTTTAGGAAGAAGGAAGAAGACGTAATCTAGACTGTTTCTTTTTTATCTAACGCTTGAGATTGATCCTGACAAAATCAACTGTCTCAAAGGGAAATTTTAGTCGACCGGCTCCTTGGCATTCCCAAAAAAATATTGTAATTTAATTTTGATTATTATTATTCCCTCCATTTCTAAATATTTGTCTTTCTAGAGATTTCAATAAGTGAGTACATACGGAGCAAAATGAATGAATCTACACCTTAAAATATGTCTATATACATCCATATGTGGTAGTCCATTTGAAATCTCTAAAAAGGCAAATATTTAGGAACGGATGGAGTATTATATACTCCTACAATTGAGCTAGTAAGGTTGTGAACATGTTTAGAAGGATGAGCTCGCAAAAAAAAATGTTTAGAAGGATGAATTTGTGAGTCCTAAATTTTGCAAGGCAATAAAACAGCTTAACCTTACTAAAGCCTCTATAATTTATAGTTTTCAGTAGAAACATGAATTTGTGCGTCCCACTAGGCTGTATATCATTTGCAGAAACAAATTAATATGATTTGTTATACATTATTTCTTTGCACATGTGGTTGATTCTTCTAATTGTTTGTTGAAAAGCTCCAGTTGGGCTTCAAGGAGATGGCCACATATGTCATATATGGCACCGGTGCTTTCTTTGCCGGATGGGTTTTGTCCGCTGTTGTTTCAGCAATTGACTCCATCCCCTTGGTCAGTAGTCATTAGATCTCTGCATGAATGTAAAATTCTTTCTGCCATCTTAGATCTTTAACTAAATGTGATATTGCCCTCAGCTCCCAAGAATACTGGAGATGGTGGGCCTCGGATACACGGTTTGGTTCAGCTCACGGTATCTTCTTTTCAAGGTATGTATCTATTTGCTTCATAAGTACTTTCTTTTGGTGTGCACTCTACTATGTTCAACCTTTTCACCACTTATTTACCACTTGCAGGAAAACAGAGAGGAATTGTTTGCCAAAGCTTATGATCTCAAAATGAGAATTGTTGGATCCGGCGATGCATGATGTGTTCACATATGGTTGGGCAGCTGAGTGTAATAACTTCTCTCTCGTTTTGGGAGAAATACTAAGTTGTGTGTTTCAACCATATGTTACTGAGTTTGTGATGTAGTGTTCGTTATGTTTGAAATATTCGGCGAAAAATGTATGTCGTGCTTTCTAGAGAAAAATGTGGTGTATGTGATAACTGGAATAAGCAAGTAAGACCCATGTAGGACATGGAGGCTAGACCAAATAATCCCAACATTGCCCCTTTTATGCAGAGCAAACATGAAACTTATGGGAGGTTGGTATGATATGGTGTCTATGGTTTATCCAACCCAGAGGTGGTCTATGGTGTGTATGGTTTATCCAACCCAGATGCAATCGTAGCCTATTTTAGGAATTAGGCCTAAGGATGTAAATCGGTAAGTAAAGAAGCCCGCATATAACTAAATCCAAATATATTGTATATTAATTTTATCTTGATGACACCGAAATTTTTGCTAGTCCTAACAAAGACAAGCTCTTGGCCCTGTGCCACATCCTCGATGCTTTAGTCGGAGCGACTAACCTTAGAACAAATCCACTCAAGATGGAGGTCTTCCCCTTTTGTCATGACCACATTGACCTTGTTGACACACTATTTGTTTTTCTAGCTAGATTGGCTTCCTTCCCGGCAAATATTTTGGTCTCCCCCTTCGCTTCAGTGTCTTCGCCGGGTGGACTTACAACCAACCGCTCATCCACAAGTTCAGAGCCTGATTACTTCTATGAACTAGATAATACCACACATGTTGTAGCGGATTTGAATATATGGTTTTTAAATATTGTGTAGAATAATAATTCAAACATTACGATTTAAACTATGTGAAAGATTTCCCCATAAGCAAAAAAGTAGCATGAAAAATTGTGCAGGTCACAATTAAATGCAATGTGATTTAAAATCCACTTAGAATGCACTAACACACATTGTATGGTAGAGGATTCCCATGTGTAGATTAGACGCACAGTGAAAGCACACATGTTGAGATAATTATACCAAAGAAAAGGTGGAAACATGAAACTTCTCTGCCACTCGGAGAATCTAGCCCTACCTGTCACTTGTGCCCTGCGACCAACGATACCACCGTACACTATGTCCAGTTGCGTAGACGTGATAAGGTAACGACCCATGCCAACCTCTTACTATAGTGATGAACAATGCAGAACAGTGTCTACAATTGCTAAAGTCAATTAATTAAGTTGTTGCCACGCCCCAGGCCATGGCCAGTGTTGCCTGGGCCTGGCTACGTCCCTACCTATGTCAGGACTGCCCTTTCTCGCAAGAGGTATGGAAGACAGTTAGTGTTCTACATGAGATGCCTGCTCCGACCTCGCCTGACCTAGACCAATCTATTAACCAATGGTGTGAGGACATTCTCATGCCCCCCTCCAGCGCATTGGCAACATGATCTATTTGTTATGGAGTATTTTAAATTAGAGAATTGGACAAATGATGAATTATCCTGAGGTGGCATATGTAACTCTGGAGTATATTCGCACGCACAAGCATAGTAGTTTCCTCTTATACGTGTAGTCGACATTCTGTTTGTGGGGGGTACTCTTGGCTTTACCCCTTCAGAAAAGCATGGTGTAAATATATGTAACAACTTGTGTTCTTTTAGTTGGGACAGTGCTTTTGCTAGTATCTCAAGTTGTTTGAAGTGACAAATTGTACCAGGTTCACACCATCTACTACGGTGCGGACGAGCTCGCGCGCTCCTGCTAGCTGGACGAGCAAGCGGACGACGCGTTGCGTACTTTATTCGATACGGGCGTATAGATACAGCAAGAGTACGGACGTCCAGTGGCGAGGCGCGCAGACGGAGCCGTAGGAAATGACGGATACATATCAGTCCAGGATTGCCATGTTCCGTTGGTACAGGTGCGTAAAGAGTCGTGCTATGCACACGACATTCTTTGGACAATGCACGGACGATAAAAAAATCCGGCCGGACATATGCATGATTGAACAGGGCGCTGGCCGCAGGATTTAGATGTCGTGCATAGATCGGCCAGTTGTATCGTGCATGCAGCAGTTTCGGTGCGTAAATACTCACTACTAGGGAAAAGGCTAGCAGCATCGCGGATTTTAGACCTATCAGTAGCGCGGGATGGTGCGCTACTGATAAGGCGCTATAGCTAACGAATAGCAGTAGCGTGCCTTCACCCACGCTATGGCTAAATCGATTTAGTAGCAGCGAGTTCCAGGAGGAGCGCTGCTGGTAATTAGTAGTAGCGCTTCTCTCTGCCCGCGCTGCTACTATCATTTTGTATTTTATTTCTTTTTTATTTCATGTTGTATTCGTACACCTTTACACAAATTTTCATACAACAGGAATTTACAAATTGTTTTTACATCATAATGAGTTATTACATCACGGGGTGAAAGAACCGTGTGGACTAGTTTCAAGTGGACGGACATCCACTTGAAACTAATCCGCGGTTCTTTCATCCAATGATATAATAAATATCATCATCATCATCATATCATTAACAACTTATCATCATCATCATCATATCATTGGTCACTAGTCGTAATCACAAGTACTTCTGACATCTTCAACTCTAACACATTGTATCACATAATAAACATATTGTACCTCATAGGACCTACTACATTCTCTTAGGACCTACTATATTTTTTAAGGTAAAATAGCAAAAAAACAAGATAGCCCCTCGCTAGCCATTATGAAGAATGCAGATTATCCTGTCTCCAATTCTTCCCTTTCGCTTAATGTTGCTTCCAAGAACCTCCTTACGAATGTCCAAACATTTTTTCCACTCTTTGATTAGCATGTGTTCACCGGTTTCAGAAATTTGATATGCATAAGTGAGATCCGTAGGATGACCTGGCTGTAGGTTCAGAACTTCAAGGCGACCATTGTAATACATCAGATGAGGCACACAATCCATCGGGATTTTCTGTTGAAAAACATAGTAATAACTTCGTAGTTAGCAATGATGTACTAATTTTAAAAGTATGCAAAAGATGCACGGATGTCGTAATAGTAAAATATCTTACCAGGGTATCTCCATAGAAGTTATCGTGGTTCAACACGTGCACTAGTGGCACGTATTCACCATAATTTGGAGGAGTTCGATAATAGGTATTGTAATTCTCAAAAAAAGTACAATAAGCAATCAGATGATTTTTCTCCTTATAAGTTAATTCGGAGCCATCAGTATAGTGGGTTTTGTCTACCATCTTCTGCACATTCTTTGAAGATTCAAAATAAGCTGTCAATGGAAATAAGCTGTCAACTATTTTGAAATAAACAATATAAATTAGTTAATAACTACGTTTGAGAAACTCACATTGCGGTAGAATCGAAAGCGTATCAACAAGGACCCAAATGTCCATATTGTCTTGCTCGATGTCAGGATCACCAAGATCCATGCTGACAATCATACCCTCATAAAAACCATACATTTTGCAAAGTGCTTTCCAATTTTGGCAACCAAAATGGGTTACGCTATGAGAATTGTACAGATTTATTTCAAAATCGATATCATGGTGGGTCCTTAGGTGTATTTTCTTTGTTTGAAAATTTTCATGGTCTTCAAACCCATCCTCTCCAAGACATAGCGTCTTGCATGACATGGGATAAGCTAGTCGAATTGTAAAAGATGAAAATTAGACGTTGAAATAGTTGAAGTCATGCTTAATTACGAAAAAAAACACTTGTCGTTGTTGCGTACCGTTTCAACATCGAAGGTCTCCTCGAGCTTAATGCTGAAGCGCCAATCTTCATCCAGCTGAACGAACCTGTCGCACATACCTCGATCATCGTGGCACCAACTACACTCCCCCGGGAGACTGCCGTCGTCCGAGTACGACATTTCCTACGTTTATAATTCAAAGATTAAACTTGTACATATTCTAGCACAAGTCATGCCAGAATTCACGGAAAAATCCGGCATGACCTTTGCTAAAAAAGGACATATCGAGCGCCTGAAATTTGCCGGAACGAAAATTAATCAACACTCCGGAAAACATAGGCCACTCAGAGGTGTAACCAAAATATGAAATAATTGCTTAAACTAAAAAATAACACCAAATATGGCATGTTCAACTAGTTCTATTAATTCAACTAGTTCTATTAATTCAACTAGTTCTTACTAAATATAAACTTAGTATAAAAAGAAAAAAAACTAGTTCTTTCTAAAAATGAAGTAGTTCAACTAGTTATTAATTTAGTTACTATACTAGTTCAACTAAAACTTAACTAGTTCAACTAAAACTAAACTAGTTCTATTAATTCAACTAGTTCTTACTAAATATAAACTCACTATAAATAGAAAGAAACTAGCACATCTACTACTACTAATTAACATCTAACTACTACATCTACTACTAATTAACATGTACTACTGTTAATTATACAACTAGTTTACCATCACTACTAGTAATTAATATCCACTACTTCTAAAAATAATTATCTATGAACCCTAAATTAACATCTACTACTACTAAAATCATCTACTAACTAAGCAAAGAGAGAGGGGGTTGGGGAGGGGTGGGGGGCTTACAGAGGGAGAGACGGTGGCGGGGAGGTGCTCGGCGACGGAGGGGTGGCAAGGGCGGGCTCGGGATCGGGAGGGTGGCGGTCCTGGGCGACGGGCTCGGCGGGCTCGGTCGAGGGCGGCTACGGTGAGGTCGAGGGTGGCGACAGTGTGGTCGAGAGCGGCGGCGGTGAGGTTGAGGGCGGGCGGCGGCGACAGCGGTGAGGGCGCAGGCGTGCTCGGGCTCGAGCGGCGGCGACAGGGAGTAGGGGAACAGGCCGGTGGGGGGGAAAGGAGGACTTAGCGAAATTTTGATGCGGGGGGTGGTTAACTCGAACTAGCAGTAGCGCACGTACAGAAAACGCGCTATAGCTAACTTATCTACAGCGCGTTTTGGGGAAAACCGCTACTGCTAATGGAAGCAGTTATTTCTTTTGTTTAGTGAAAACATCAAAAATATACATTGGTCATCATTGATCTTTTTGTGTATAATCTAAATAGTCAACATGAATCCTCACTGTATCTGTATAGGTACAAGCGAGGATTCATATTGCAACCACAAATCATACACATATAGTTCAATGAAGACCAAGTGCTCGAGATAGGTTGAGAAGCAACATATTTAAGGTGGTAAACACCTTGTTCGCTTAGCAGTATGGGACTAAACTTAATTAGTTACGGTCATACTTACCAGCAGCGAGTTTTGAGCAAAACCGTTGCTACTAAGTTCTTTAGCAGTAGCGCGTCCACGGAAAGGGCGCTACTACTATATCTAGCCTGGAGGCAACACCGTGGCAATTATAGTAGTAGCGCTCTTTTCACCTAGAGCGCTACTGCTACTCAGTCATTAGCAGCGCTCTTTTCTAAAGCTCGTTGCTGCTAATTAGCAGTAGCGTCTGTTTTTAGACCGCGCTGCTGCTAAGATTCTGTGTATAAGGTTTTTCTTAGTAGTGACTGTACATAACAACGTCCGTCCGGTGCATCTGTTACACTGACACCGTGAGTGGAATGGATAAGTCTCCATGGTGACCCGACCGACACTACAAAGTAAATGCAAATCTGTAGTCTTCCTTGGGACGCCGCCTAAGGCGAGGAGCTCTTGGCGATGGAGATGGCGACGGGGAGGCGATGGAATCGAGTTCTTGTCAGATCCAGTCGACAGGTAAACTTTGGCAACCCAATTATCTGATATCCGTGACAGGTACAAGTTATAGGTGGTAAATTTATTCGAATGATTTTTATTTTGAGATAGATTTCCCCTGTCGGATCTGGCCTGTGCAGATGCGCCTCTGGCCCATGTTGCAAGCCAAGCTTTAGTATGCACGCCTGCTGAATCCAGCATTGGCGATGCCGGGGGTGCCGCACTGGACTTACAAATGGAGTTGAACAACACTTGCGAGGGGATTGCTCTGTCCGCACCGGCGTCCGAGCAATCTACAGGCGGAGACAACCCTCAAGCCCCTGGTTGGACTAAAATGTACAAGTCCACGGCATTTTGTTTCTCGTTCAATCATAGCTCTAACTGCTAATTTCTTGTTACGATATTTGAAGCATGTTTATCATACCGGCTGCTATACGGCCATGCCATCTACTCATGATGGGATTAAACATACATTACTGAAAAGCATAAATCTGTATGATGTAGAATCCGTATGGGGCGTGCACCTGATGAACGACCCCCATGTGCTGCCAGGATGAGTGCGTTGGAAATGGCATTGCCAAGTTATGCAGAAAAGAAAACTGAAACTGTCATAGTTCCTGCTCTGGGAAGCAACTTCGATACACTGGGGGAAGCCTATGGTTACTACAATCTATATTCATGGGAGATCGGCTTTGGAGTAAGATATGGCAAACGCCGGCTAAATGTCGAAAAAGAACAAAATGCATGCAGGAGATAGTTTGTGGCTGCTCTTTAAGTAATTATTTCACTTCACTAGCACATATCCCCATCTAGGTGTGAATACATGTATAACAAAAACTGAAACATGACACTTAAACAGAAACAAAATAAGTGCCTCCCCTGTTTCATGTCATTTCTACATGACCCAATGCTTACATTGTAAAAAAAACTAACTAAAATCCCTACTGCACGTAAAAAAAAAGACAAGATCACTGCGGGCAATGCATGAAGGTCGATGGTATATTCATCCAATTCTACTCCAAGGATCCATGATTCCAATTCAAAAAGTGAAGACTACTGCTTATCAATACATTACCTCCGACGTCTGCAATCGGATCCGATCCGTTGTGCTGCATTTTGCTGATAATCACGTGCCCCCTGGCAAAGTGTTATCGCCTGAACACCAAGAGAGGTGCAAAGCTCTTGTTAATCAGATTTGTGGCAATCTAGATGCAGCTGCTACTGTTATGTACAAGGAGTTCACAAACAGGATTGCCGAGGCAGAAAATGCTCGCTTGACAATCAACATGTGCATCTAGCTCCAAGCCCCTTGGTCAGCGCCAAGACAGCGCTTGTTGTTACCCAATGTTCGTTCCCATCGAAAACTCACTTTTGACTTGAATACATTGGTATCAAACAAAAGTTACTAACTGCTTGTGTCTGCCCTCCTCGCTTTTTACAGGTAGGCCAGCAGAGCAGAGTCGCGCACCTTCAACCCAGAGTCATGAAGAAGCATTAGCAGAAGCACGCAGAGGAAAAGAGAACTGCACTGGAGCCCCAGATTCCACACCAAGATTCATAACACCTGAGTCATGTTGGTTTCCATTTGATTGTCATTGGCACTTGTACACACATGCTCAATATTTAACCTCCACGCTTGTTGATACATCCCTGCAGACACAGCTTCCTCCAGAATCACCACTTGCAAATGCATGCGCACACACTCTTCTCCAGCTTGCTGGAATAGTCTCTCAAACATGTACTTAACAACTCATCACCACTCACGTCGTCTCATGATTTTTTTTTTAAAATGAAAGAAACACCACTATGATCATGTGCTCTGAATATCATTCCAGCAAAGGATCAACAACTTCAGTATGTTGAGGAAACTCCTGAAGCTAAGCTGCCAGCACCTACCCTTCCTGGAGCCGCGCAAAACCTGATTGCAATAAATGCCACCTGCCCCTTGCGCCTTGTGCTCTCTGTTTCACTAACATGCCTTCTGACGATGATTCTGCACACACGGGTTAGCAATCTCATGCAAGCTGTGTTTTATTTCTAGCACCTCTCCTAAAGTTTCAAACTATATCTAAGCATTCTGTCCACACTGTTTTTATGGCTGCAGCTATGCTGATATCACCCCGGTACCCACGGACACCTTACCATTTACGGAGCCGGAAGTATGTCACTGTCACAGATGTCACAAAAAAGCCTACCTGGACAATGAAGCGTCCAAGGTCAAATGTTGTAAACATGGTAGACCCTAAGAGACAGAAAACATCAGAATTACCTGCTGTTGATCATCTCCCTGACATTGGAGAACGCAGATCAGCACCTCCCTGACACTCGAGGACGCAGATCAGCACCTCCCTGACATTGGTATCAAACAAAAGTTACTAACTCCAGCCGCCTGCCCGCCCTGCATCTGACCTGGCCCGACTTGGCCAACTACAGGAGTTGCTCCTCCAAGACCAAGAGTGGCGACATGGGCCGCGTAGGCCTCCTCCCACCTGTAGAAATCACATCCACCCCCTGACGGCTGCCATGGATTCAGAAGAAAACATACATCGTCAGAACCTGACCAACTAAACATCAGGAAAAAAAAGCCAAAATCCCATCCAAGATACTGTACTTACATTGTGATTCCGGCACTTGTCGAAACGCTGGCCGGCATTCTGCCCGCGCCGCGCTACGTATGTCACCACGTTCCTCCCGCAATCCGGACAAGGCACGACTGACAGAGCACCTTGGTCAACACCTGGATCTGCCATCTTTGCAAGCTACGGTTATATCTGCTTCGATTTGGGATATGGTAAAGGAAGTTGTGCGGCGCGGCTAGGGTTTCGTCTCTCGATTTGGGGATCGAATGGGGAACAGACAAGCAAGAACCCGTGGGTTGCATTAAATACATCCGATGGGCCGCCCATCAGAAAATTGTGCAACACCCGCTACCGGCCGTTCCCGTACTTTCGGTATAGGTACAGGACCGGGAACAAACGTCACGTTAGAAAACACCGTCAACCCTCCTCTCGCGTCGGCAACAACGTTGACTCCCACGGCGTCTCTTGCCCGTCACGTACGTGCATTAAACTCTCCTTAACCGCCAACTGCAATACGGCATGCACCTCGCATCTCCAGCGGATCGAACGCGCGACGATAGCGAGAGCGCGCGAGCTATTTTCGGCAGATGCTTAATTAGATACTTTTGCTATAGATAAGACTATAGATGTTCAAGAAAAATCTGGCATATTTTTATACACATATAAAAGAAGTTTATTGAGTAGTCATCGGCCCATCGCAGGTTTCATTACTTTTCTTAATTATTAAAAAGGAATTGTGAATGACCGATTCGTCATTGATAGCATTAAACCCTAAAAGGAGGGATATATTGTGATAATAGTGGCAGATCAAACAAGAACTTGATGTCTTGATGAAAACATTTCTCTAAGAGCTTTGCATGGTAGATGCCCTAACTTTGTAGCAATATTGCCAAGTAGTAAGCCCACGCCGGGTAATCTAAAATAGCAAGCGTAGTTAAAAAAAATAACTGATAACAACTAAAACTGTTTGCCTCTGTTTTGAAGAAAAGCGTGCTTAGTTACATCCAGATGCTAATAACCAATTCGATCGAGTCTGTGCATAAAATCATGGCATAGTTGGATCTGCTAGAGGAGAATTAACAAAGTCTTATCTAACTCCTACACTATTTTTTGCGGGAAAAACTTTCAAACTATTCATCATCTGGTAGGCAGTACAAAGAACACTAGAAGTAAAATTTACATTCAGGTCCGTAAACCGCCTAGCAACGACTACAAACACTGGAGCAAGCCGAAGGTATTCCGCCGCCATCGCCCCTCCATCACCGGAGGGCAGGAGACATACTTGTTTCTCAACCTGTGTATTGTCACCAAACATTGTCACCTAGCACGCACGGTATGAACCTCCATATTCGCATTTTGTCGGTCATCTGATACCCTCTTCTTTTCAATTCCCTTTCAGCAACCAAACTGTTTTGAACTTGAATTTGTATATAGGGTTGTAAAAGCTCCATCTTCCCCTTCTGCCAGAGTAGTAAAAGAGTTGTATGATCAGACTCAGCCTCAAGCAAAATTACCAAAAAAAAGCAGATGCGCAGATTGTTGCTAGAGGAAGATCCAAAGATTTCCGGCAGACATGATCGGCCGTGCCGCCTGTTTCAAGCTGCGACCTGCGACCGCCGGCAGGCAGGGATGTGGTGCGTGCGCTGCCTGTGGCTGTGGTAGCACGTTCACCCAACGGCCAACGCCCCGGCGCCTTCAGTTTCAGTTTGCGCCTGCCCACCCCGCGGCCGCCGCTGACCACACACAAACCTCGCGGCGAATCCGCCGATCTCCTCCCCCCTCCTTCCCGAGAGGCTGAGGCGGCGGCGACCGACAAGCACCCCCTCCGCCGCCGGCGGCCATGAAGCCCCCGCCCCTGCCGG